AAAGATATGATACATTAAGATTTGCCTTTTTTGTTTTGAACTTTTACATTTTGACCGGAGCCATTAAAGATCATGGAAAGAAAAAGTCTAGATCAGTTTTTGGAAGATCTGAATGGAATTCGTTTTGTTCACTGAATATAATTTTAAAATGGCAGTTTCAATAAAGTAGAGAATAGATTTGGAAGACCAGGGGCTGCAAGAAATGAGAAAAGAAGGAATGAATATTAGGCTCAATGAGATTAAGATAGAGAATAAAAAAGGGAACTAGATTAATAAACTGTAAAATACAAGCAGCTTTACATTTTGAAGTATCTACAAGTACTTTTAATAAAATAAGGGTCAGAATAAAATTCCTAGGAAGAAATAGGCCTAAAGCAGAAAGCTTTTAAAGGACTATTAGTAAATTAGCTATATATTACAGTGTATATATACTTACATTTACTAACAGGTGTTTTCATACTATTAACAGGCTTTAAAATGGGAACTCTGTCCTGTAACAGTCATCTCCTGGCTAAATCTCTTCCTCCAAGTTGATGCTCTTAAAGATGCTCCTAAAGTTCTTCTACCTCAGTATTCTCAGGAAAAGTTCATTCAAATAGCTCAGGTATTTTCACTGCAGATATGCTAATGTTTATTGTAACTGTTTAGTGCATTTACAGTCTTAAATAAATTATACAAGAAAAATCGTAATGAATTAAATTCACTCCTTAATTGACTAGAACAAAACTGATGCATAAAATTCTGTTCCCAGTATTTACATTGCTTAATAATTCTAGAGAACAGACTTTAAACTTTCAGTTTAAATGTATTATGAGTACTCTTCATTCTTTAGGGGTTTAGAGTGTTAAATACCTCTTTTTGGTATTTAGCAGCCAGCTGTCTTTAGTATGATAGGAAATTATTCTGTATGATAATCTTATCCTCATATTTGAACACACTGTACCTATTTTATACATTAGAATTAAGATAAGTTATAACATTTTTAAAAAATCTAATTTCGGGGCGCCTGGGTGGCGCAGTCGGTTAAGCGTCCGACTTCAGCCAGGTCACGATCTCGCGGTGCGTGAGTTCGAGCCCCGCGTCGGGCTCTGGGCTGATGGCTCAGAGCCTGGAGCCTGTTTCCGATTCTGTGTCTCCCTCTCTCTCTGCCCCTCCCCCGTTCATGCTCTGTCTCTCTCCCAAAAATAAATAAACGTTGAAAAAAAAAAAAATTAAAAAAAAAAATCTAATTTCAAATTATGCTTTTGTAGGCCAACATAGCAAATGTTCTTTCCTGCTTACTTCTCGTATGTATCTTAAAGGTTGCTGTACTACCATATATAAGTGAGAAAAATCTATGTTCGAATTCTATGTAGAATATGAAAAGCTTACATAAGGAACTGAAGGAACTGTGGTATTTTGGGTTGGGTTTTAAATAACCTAGGTTGAAATTTAATTTGTATTTTAAATCTAGTAAACACCTTATGAACTAAAACTGAATTAGAATTGGTTCATTTTGTAAAACTTTCTAATGAGGGCTTATTTTTTCTGTCAGAATTGCCAGCATCCTAAATTATCACAGGCAGCTATGCCTTTTTGATAGAGAACAAAAATCTGATAAGCTAATAATTACTATTTCTACATTGTTTATTTCTAACTCTTCTCATGTTTCTACCTTCTGGACAATGGGAGCAAACATAATTTGTTTATTCCATGGACAGTATTACCTTAGCCTCTGAAATCTAGCCCTTTTACACAATTCTACTATACTCTTTATTACCTAGATTATATTGCCTTTTAAATAATCTCACTGTTTAGATTACAGTAAAGCAGATACACAGAAAGGAACATGTTTCTAAAGGATCATTCTTAAAATGTATCTTTCCTGATTTAAAATGTTCCAATAATTTCAGTAATCAGAACTAAATTTACAGACCCTTTATGATCTAATCTAGGCTAATCTATGATCTAATCTGTGCCTCTCTACCTACGCCCCTCTCCCTTTTAAAATAAGGAATGAAGGAAAGGAATTCCTTTGTTCTGAACTAGAGGTTCCAAGGGAAAGTAATATTTCATTTATCTTTGCAAATGCTATTCCCTACACCTAGAATACTCTCTACCTCCCAATCTTCGTGGCTACTGCGTCTTTTAAGATTTAAGCAGCACAGGTCTTCCCCACTCTGGATTAGGTGCCTTTCCTACTGCTACACACCACACTGCATCATAACAATCCTTGTCTATTCACTTCCTGGCTTGAGCCACCACTCTGAAGGAAATTATCTTTGGATCCCTGTAGTTTTAGCAATTCTTGGCACATGGGTCCACATCATAAGTACTCTAAAATTATAGCTGACTGATCTTTAGTAGCAACATTGATTACGCATCCTTTCTCCTCCTAATTACATGTGCGTTTGCTTTTTCCTTTGCTAGCTTTTAGATCTGTGTATTCTAGCCATCGACTCATTAGAATTCCAGTACAGAATCCTGGCTGCCGCTGCCTTGTGCCATTTTACCTCTATTGAAGTGGTTAAGAAAGCCTCAGGTAAGGCACTATATTTTGTTATCTTCTTACATGTTCACAAGGGACTATTAATTTATCAACTTTAGCTTCCTATTAAACAGTTTAAAATTTTAATGGAAAACATTAGGTTAGCAATTACCTTCTCTTTTGTTAGAAGTCCTTCCTCATCTTCAGTATATATCCATAAACAAAAAATAAGGTCAAATGGAATTTAAATCCGTTTGAAGTCAGTCAGCATGGTCATTGCCCTGCTTTAAGAGTTCTTTGGGTTTTGACAACTTCAGTTTCGTATGTAGAAGGTACGGGTTAAGAAGCTCTAAGTCTTTTTCTCCCACAAAATAAGTCACCTTATGAACAGTTATTAGAAGGCCAAAATCCAATTCTAAGAAGTTAAAGCAGATTAGCATTCTCAAACTATCTTTAAAATCGGAAGGACAAGCCAATATATTGACAATTTCTCTTGTAACCTTCACATTTTCCTAACTTTCCTCTATCTAGGTTTGGAATGGGACAACATTTCTGAATGTGTAGACTGGATGGTGCCTTTTGCCAGTGTAGTAAAAAGTACTAGTCCTGTGAAGCTGAAGATTTTTAAGAAGATTTCTATGGAAGACAGACACAATATCCAGACACATACAAATTATCTGGCTATGCTGGTATGTTTCTTGTGGGGCTTTTCATTTTATATCTAGTAAGTTACTGAAACTAATAAGGATACTAGAAATACTTTAGGGCAGTGATACAAGATAGAAAGCTCTAATGGGCACACTGATGTCACAGCAAAATTTGTGGAATGTCTCAAGATTAATGCCAGTAGTCCAAGTAAGAGTTTTTTAAAAATACAGCTATATTCAGTTCAAACTGTTGCACCTCTAGAATAGGACTAGTCATGATTGCAAAGACATAAAGAGACCATTTCATGAGGTCTAAGTAGTCTCAAATTAATATCCCAGTCTGGTTTGACTTTGTTTTACTCTATCAGTGCTTTACCTTACCTGTTAATCTCTGCATGATTTCTTCACATGTATAGGATGAAGTAAATTATGTAAACACCTTTCAAAAGGGGGGACAGTTGTCACCAGTGTGCAGTGGAGGCATTATGACACCACCGAAGAGCACTGAAAAACCACCAGGAAAATACTAACGAAGGTTAACTAAGCAAACAAGTTGGAAATGACCATTGGTAGAATTTCCTAGAACTGAACTACTAAAGTTTTCAGGAAAATAGTGCTATGACTGTCCTAGCCAATTCAGAAGTTTCACTGCCATTCTTCGATTTTAAAAAACCACTTAAAATTGGCATTAAGGAAGAAATTCCTACATTAGCTGTTTAAACAGCGGGACTTGTTTACAAAGATGACTTCATTCCCAAGGTGACTAGATAGAAGATAGCCACGCTTTATGCCATAATTTTTTTTTTTTGATCCAGTATTACTGTGTTATTGTGATAAACTAAGAATTTTATCATTGGAGTTTTAGACTAGGTAAGTGCGCCACCTTAAAGGCGACATTAATACAATACTTTGAATCTAGTTTTTAGATTCTCAAAATTCATATTGTCTTGACTAGTGCAATTTGGTTTTTGAAAATAAAATTTAAACTTGTTTACAAAGATTTAGTTTTGTAATAAGGTGACTAATTTATCTACAGCTGCTGTAGCAAGCTATTATAAAACTTGAATTTTTACAAAAGGTGAACTTTAATCTGTTTTTTATTTCATCTGCCTTGCCATAACATTTTTTAACCAGTAAGGCTTAAATGAACATGGTGTTTAAACTGTGGTCTAAACAGGGGGAATACCAAAGAAATTTTAAACAAGATAAATGTGTAGCTCCTACTTTGGGCTTTGACACAGAGGTTGCTTTATAATGACTTTTTGTACATCACAATTTAAGTGAAAAAGTACGCTTTCAACCTATTTATATGAGAAAGTCACTTTACTAACTCCAAGACATCCCTAAGGATTTTTTCTTAATTTAGTGTGACTAAGACTTTATTTATGTTTGCAAAACTGTTAAGGTCGTTTTTAAATTCCTACACTGAGTTAAGGACAAAGTGATAAAGCTTAACACTTGGCCTAAACTTCTGTTTTCATAAGGCAGAAAAAGTAGTAAATGTATACTGACTCCTAGATTATTTATTAAAAACAAAACAAAACCCTGACATAAGAACTTGCTGTGTATAGACTAGCTACTTCTACATATTTTAGTTTTTTAATGAAATTTCAACCTCGAAAGTGGGTCTAGTTAGAAAACAAAGCATACCAGATTGCTAGTTTATTCTCTTACTGGATACATGAATCTCCTTTTGAAGAAATTATAAATTTAAGCTGTGGTTATGGTATGAAGTCTTCTGTACAGTTTTTGTTTTTAAATTGTTTCAGTATTTTGTCTGAAAAGAAAACACCACTAAATGTGTAAATATGTATTATATAATCTAATACTGTTTATTTTTAGCCCATTGTTTAAAAAATAAAAATTAAAAATTTTTAACTAACTGTTTAAAAGTAAAGTTTTGCCATTGCTTGGAGAAACTTTTTTTTCCTTCTCTGCGCTGCCAGCTGTAACACTTCTTCTGGGTTGCTTGCGTTCAATTCTGTCTGACCGATGGCTTTGATCTTCCAAAACAGAAAGGTGATGTTATTACAGGTGTGGTCAAAAACAAAGTCTTGCTAGTATACATAATACAAAACTACCTACATGCTAACAAAGTCAACTGTAAATGATGGGAGGTGTAGAAGAAATTAACAAAGACAGACTCAGAGCCACTCTTAAAGATCAAATGCCTAGCCACTGTTCATGGAATTACAGTAGGTTCCCCCTTATCTGAAGTCCAGCATGGTCCAGAAGATGATCCTCCTCCTAACAGGTCTCAGAGTCAAAAGTAATCTAATGCTTTACCACAATGCCTACATCATTCACCTCACATCATCCCAAGAAGAGGGAGTACAATATTTTGATATTTGTAATAATATTTGTAACATTTGTAGCAATATTTTTAATAATTACATAAATATCTATATATAGGGTTCAGTACTCCCTATGGTTTCAGGCATCCACCTGGGTCTTACAACATATCCCCTGTGGATAAGAAAAGACTATCTATAGGAACATTCATGTAAGTTTATTTGACTAAAAATACCAGCAAATAAGCTCTACATATCATCCAACACATTTTTACAGTTAATTGAGGCTCCTACAAAATAGTTTGAAAAATCAAAATTCATGTTTCAGGAAAGGCTTTACTTGTTTAATATGCAAAAATAGGTAGTTGCTCAGCATTATGACAGCCTATATAAAGTGGTTCATTTCTTTCATAACTAGAATACCTCAGCCTACTAAAAATCTATAGTATAATCTGCCAAAGAGCATTTTGTTAGAATGTATTTTAGGATCTTAGAATTACCTTTAGATTAAAAGGCAATCTACATCTTTAGATAAAAAAAGAAAGAAGCCCAGCGGTGCCTGGATTGCTCAGATGGTTAAGTATCCAACTCCTGGTGTCAGGTCATTATCTCACAGTTCAGGAGTTCCAACCCCACCTGGGGCTCCACACTGACAATGTGGAGCCTATGGGGATTCTCTCTCAAATAAATCATGTATTTTCTAAAAAGAAACCCTATTATAACTTCTTTAAACAACAAAGACTGTCAACACCATTTCAACATGAAGGAGTGCATGTGGAAAAACCTAGTCATAGGGTATATGACTAAAGAATGATTTCCAACAGATAAAATAACACAAAGATGACTGGCTATAAAAATCCAAAGTATAAGACAGAAGTTGGAATTGGAGCCAGAGATTTGAGAGAAATAATGTACACTGTGGGTAGTAGTTAAACCCATGAGTGGATGAGACTACCTAGGGAGAATGTAGGGCAATCTGAAAATAACCAAAGGACTAAACTCTGAGGAAACCAAGATTAAGGGGGAGACAGAGGGAGATGCTCATGAAGAAATGGACAGAAGAAAAGGCAGAAGAGTCAGTGAAAAAAATTGAGAGAAAATAATGTCAGGGAAGCCAAAGGAATAAAGAATTTTAAGAAGTGAGATGTCAACACGATAAAGACTGAAAAGCATCCACTGACTTTGATATTGGTGATCCTTGAGAGAACGGTTAAGAGTGATAAGAGCAGAAGTCAAATTACAATGGGTCGAGAGCGTCACAGAACTGGACAGAGAAGGGACAAGGGAAGTAGAGGTACAGTCAAGGATGAAATAGTTTATAAGCTATGGGAGAGGCTGACAATACAGGAGAGGAGACAACTAATTAAAGGTCACTGAACAGGTTGAATCAAAAGCCTAAAAACTTGCCTTCATCAAGGAGTAACATTACCAACAATAGTCAAACTATGGAGAGGGCCCAAATGTCCATTGACTAATGGACAAAGATAATGGTGTCTGTGTGTGTGTGTGTGTGTGTGTGTGTATACACGTGCACGCGCGCGCACACACACACACAGATATACATATATACGTACAATGGAATAATCAGCCATCAAAAAGAATGAAATCTTGCTATTTGCAACGACACAGAGCTAAACTGTATTATGCTAAGTGAAATCAGAGGAAAAATGCAACAGGATTTCACTCATGTGGAATTTAAAAAAAACAGATGAATATAAGGGAGGGGAAGAAAAAAAAGAGGGAAACCATAACAGACTCTCTTTTTTTTTAAGTTTATTTTGGGGGGGGGGAGAGGGGCAGAGAGAGCAAAAGAGAGAATCCCAAGCAGGCTCAACACTGTCCACACAGAGTCTGATGTAGGGCTCAATCTCATGAGCTGCAAGATCATGACTTGAGCCAAAATCAAGAGGCAGGTGCTTAACCAACTAAGCCATCCAGGCACCCCAACCATAACAGACTCTTAACAACAGAGAACAAACTAAGGTTTGCTGGAGGGAGGTGGGTGAGGGGTGGGCTAGATGGGTGATGGGTATTAAGGAGAGCCTTGCTGGGTGTTGTATGTAAGTGATGAATCACTGAATTCTACCCCTGAAACCAATATTGCATGTATGTTAATTAGAATTCAAATAAAAATTTGGGGAAAAAAAAATATATGTACCTCTATGTTTATGTTTATAGCAGCATTATCTATAATAGCCCAACTAAGGAAACAGCCCAGTGTCCACTGACTGATGAATGGATAATGATGATGTAGTATGTGTGCATATGTGTGTGTGTGTGTATGTATGTGTATATACATATACATATGTGTGTGTGTGTGTATATATATATATATATATATAATACCATGGAATATTAGCCATAAAGAATGAAATCTTGCCATTTGCAATGATGTGGATGCAGCTAGAGAGTAATATGCTTAGTGAAATAAATCAAAGATAAATACCATACGAAATACCTCACATGTGAAATTTAAGATACAAAACAAATGATCAGAGAGAAAATAGGGAAAAGAGAGAGAGGCAAACCAAGACACAGACTCCTAATTATAGCAAACTGATGGCTACCAGAGGAAAGGTGGGTGAGGGATGAGTAAAAAAGATGGGGATTAAGGAGTGCACTTACTGTGATGAGTTCATTATACACCTGAAGATAATATTACATTGCATGTTAACTAAGTTGAATTTAAGTAACTTAAAAAACCAAATACCCTTTCCTCCCTTAATAAATTTCCTTAAAAAAAAAAAAAAAAAGTAACATAACCTCCTACTAAGAGTACACTTAACAATGAGCACAGAGGTAGAATTTTAAAGAGGGATTTGAAGCTGGTACTTATAAGGCCACAATTCCCAAAACTACAACTCCATGTGGACAGGAGCTGATAGTCTTTTCTGGTCTATTCCAAACACAGGCAAGGAAGTATGGAACAGGGAGAAAGGAGAGGGGGCTGAACACAGGGAATGTCTAAAATAGTTCCTGAAAAGAAAGCAGACCACTGACTGCTGGCCCATAACACAAAAGAGATAAGGAGCCAGCTAAGCTCTGAGACCATGGTTTGGTAATGGCACCACAGTTTATATGGTGGCAGGATTTTTTCCAACCAAACTCAGTGGCTCGGGGAAAAAAGCAAAATCTTTGAACCGATTCAGGGTTGGAATTTTTCCAGGTGAAGTGAAAGACAAAAATGCAAAGATGCTGAATATACATTTTTTTTTTCACATTTTACTTATTTAAGTAATCTCTACACCCAATGTGGGGCTCGAACCCACGACCCCAAGATTAGCACACTCCAACTGAGCCAGGCAGGTGCCCCAAAATGCTGAAAATATTGACCAAAGGGTAGTTTTGACAGTCATAGATAAGCAGGGGTTCCCAAACCTGGTTTGTCATAATCAGAACTAGCTGGGAAACTTACAATTTGGATTCCAAGACCTTATCTCAGACCAGCGGAATCAGCACCTCTTGATAGTGTACACATAGGTATTTGCCATATTCAAAGTGAGTAGGGAAGGAAGGGAAGCTGGGAAGGGGCTGACAGACTGGGGAAAAATTGGTCACAAACCTGAATATCTCACTGATCATGAGGAACATGGGAGCCAGGAAGTAAGAGAAGGATAAATTACCGGCAGATGGATCTTAGGTAGAACAATTCTGACAATAAGACACGGCTACGGGTGTGGGTGGCTGATGCTAAGTAAAGGTAACAATCAAACTTGGAAAGCTATGGATAAGGATGTTGGGTAAATAATCACGTATATTTTGATGCATGTGGAGGAATAACCAGTAGCTTGGTTAGATGACCTACTAAAGAGACAAGTGTAAACTTTTAAGGAGAAAGGGCTTAAAATGATACAAGTAGAGACGGTCTGGAAATAGCACTGGAGACATGACAACTTCAGTATGCCTACCAGCTGTGGATAAGCTTGCAATGGAGAATGACTTGCCTCCAATCAAGTAGGCTGGCTTCATGTTCTTTTTCCTTTTGATTTTTAAAAAAACATACTATTATTTTCCCCCTGCAAATAATGCCCATACAACTTAGTCCATGCAGAAAGCTTTAAAAGATATACAATAGCACATAATTTTGTTAGTATGAGCGAAAGCAACAAGAAAAATTATCTGTGGTGATACTGATGCAGCAAGTATTAGTCAAGTAAAAATGGCCATAAATTTATAATGCTTTGGGGCGCCTGGGTGGCTCAGTCCGTTAAGCACCTGACTCTTGATTTTGGCTCAGGTCATGATCTTATGGTTTGTGAGTTTGAGCCCCGTGTTGGGCTCTGCACTGACAGTGTGGAGCCTGCTTGGTATTCTTTCTCTCCCTCTCTCTCTAAATAAACACTAAAAAATTTTAGAATACTTTGGCTTATAAGTCAAACTTAAAAACAGATAACTCATCTATCAGTAACTACTGAGCATCTATAATGTGCCAGGCACCATTCTAGGTATCAGCTATGACAAAGCCAAGTTTTTGGTGGGGAAACAGCCAATAAATTAGCAAATATATAGTATGTCAGATGTAAATCAGAAGTATAATGGAGGACATTTTCAAAAGGGAAATGAGAAAAAGTGTTGGAGAAAAAAGGGTAGAGAAAGACATGGCTATTTTATAAGATGGTCAGGAAATGATCGCTAAGATGACTTTTTTTTTTTTAATTTCTTCTTTTTAAACATTTGTTTATTTTTGAGAGAGCGAGCGAGCATGAGCAGGGGAGGGACAGAGAGAGAGAGGGAGACATAGAATCTGAAGCAGGTTCCAGACTCTGAGCTATCGGCACAGAGCCCAACGTGGGGCTCAAACCCATGAACTGCCAGATCATGACCTGAGTGGAAGACTAAGATGACATTCCAGGAGACCTGAGGGAGGTTAAAGAATGTTTATGGAAAATAAAATTTCAAAGGCCCTTCAGGTGGTGAATGTTTTCAGCATGTTCAAAGAACAGTAGGGCTAATAGCGTAGCAAAAGTTAGCAAGAAAGTCGGATGGACAGCTAGAGGTCATATGCAGGCTTGTAAGCTATTATAAAGACTTTGAGATTATAGGAGATAGGAAACCATTCAAAAGTTTGGAGCAGGGGCGCCTGGGTGGCGCAGTCGGTTAAGCGTCCGACTTCAGCCAGGTCACGATCTCGCGGTCCGTGAATTCGAGCCCCGCGTCAGGCTCTGGGCTGATGGCTCAGAGCCTGGAGCCTGTTTCCGATTCTGTGTCTCCCTCTCTCTCTGCCCCTCCCCCGTTCATGCTCTCTCTCTGTCCCAAAAATAAATAAACGTTGAAAAAAAAAATAATAAAACTAAAAGTTTGGAGCAGAGAAAGGACGTGATCCAATATTTTAAAATAAAAGAGAGATAAAGCTCTAGATGAAAATAGGTCTGTTAAAAAGTAAACACTGATAACCAAAATCTGACAGTAACTAGGCATACAGAATCTTTTTTGGGGGGGTGAGGGGTCCAAATCTTAACGACGGTTTACAATCAGGGAAATTAAGTGTATTACTGAAGAAAAGCATAAAATAACTTACCGCAATTTGTCTTTTATCAGTTTCTCCTCTTTTATGATGAAGATCTAAACAAATCAGTTAAGAATAAATCTGATATTATTAAATACCATGACAAAATCTCAACTGTTTATTTACAGTACTTTTTTAATTTACAGAAGTGAACTGTCCTAATATCACATATGTTGATAGAAGGATACAGGTCAAGTATTCCAAAATGGTAACGTCCCATATGTAGTCATAGTAGGAGTCCATAGCATCATGACTGAAAAACAGATTTTAGTTACTTCCTCTTTATTAAGCAGAAAAATTTCAACTTCGTTTTATTTTAAAAATCATTCATACCTGTTTTGTTCCTGCAATGATTTAAAGGCTGTTTTGTAGTCAATTTCTCTGAGGAACTGACATAAAATTGCCACCTACATAAACAAAGAAAATGATTTAACGTAACCAGTGTCAACAAGGACTCTCCTGGTTTGGGAGGCCTAATTTTTTTTTTTTTTAAGTTTATTTAATTCTCTTAGTAATCTGTACACCCAGCATGGGTTTGGCTCTTTTGACTGAGTGCCCCTGGGAAGGGCAATTTTTAATGATTCTTACATCAAGAACACACTAAAGAGGGCTTGCAGATCATACTGAGTAGATCAGCTCATAATTATGGATCCCATCTAATTTTAATTGCAAAAACCTTTACATACGCATCTGCCCATTTAAAAAAAATTTTTTTAATGTTTATTTTTGAGAGGAAAGAGACAGACTGCAAGTGGGGAAGGAGCAAAGAGAAAGGGAGACAATCTGAAGCAGGCTTCACGCTCTGAGCTGTCAGCACAGAGCCCGACACAGGGCTTGAACTCACACACCAGGAGATCACGACCTGAGTCAAAGTCAGATGCTTAACCGACTGAGCTACCCAGGTGCCCCTGTCTGCCCAATTTTTAAATCAATGATCTAAATCATAAATTTTTAGAGCTTTGTTCATTTTAAATTTTTTTTTTTTTTTCAACGTTTTTATTTATTTTTGGGACAGAGAGAGACAGAGCATGAACGGGGGAGGGGCAGAGAGAGAGGGAGACACAGAATCGGAAACAGGCTCCAGGCTCTGAGCCATCAGCCCAGAGCCCGACGCGGGGCTCGAACTCACGGACCGCGAGATCGTGACCTGGCTGAAGTCGGACGCTTAACCGACTGCGCCACCCAGGGGCCCCGAGCTTTGTTCATTTTAAAAGCCCATTCAAAAATTACATAATGCCTTTCAAGGACATACAGAACCTGCAATCAGACCTGTCACAGCTAGTCCATTTCTCCACCCTCAGTCTCTGGCAACTGCTAATCTACATTCTGATTATAGATTTGCCTATTCTGAACATTTCATATGAATGAAATCATAATAACAAGGCCATGTGTATCTGGCTTTTTTCCATTCAACCTAATACTTCCAAGATTCACCCCTGTTGTAGCATGTATCGGCACTTCATTTGTTTCTCTGGCTAAATAATATTCCACCGTAGGATCTACCAAATTTTATTTATCCATTCCTCAACTGATGGACATCTGGGTTATTTCAACTTTTTGGCTAAGATGAGTAACACTAGGGGCGCCTGGGTGGCGCAGTCGGTTAAGCGTCCGACTTCAGCCAGGTCACGATCTCGCAGTCCGCGAGTTCGAGCCCCGCGTCGGGCTCTGGCCTGATGGCTCAGAGCCTGGAGCCTGTTTCCGATTCTGTGTCTCCCTCTCTCTCTGCCCCTCCCCCGTTCATGCTCTCTCTCTGTCCCAAAAATAAATAAACGTTGAAAAAAAAAAAAAA